TGAATATGTACTTGTTTGGTAGTGCTTTATTTTATTTTATTTTATTTTTTTTAATGACGAGAGAACCTGCAGCCGCTACCCTTTAGGTGCGCACTGGATAAACCCTCAAGCTGACCTAATAGTCTGCAAATCACATCGACCAGATAAACCACACTAGGCAAGTGTCTGGTAGTGTTTTTGTCCGATCATGTTTGATTTTTGTTTATGAACAATATTAGCTATCTTCTTATACAGGCATGACTAATCTCCTAATCTTGATAGACTAAAATATATATAATTGTCCTAAAAGAAAACCAATGACCAACTGTCAATTAAGAAAAATTCCTCCAACTAAGTGCATGTTTGGTTCTGATTTTTCTCTCCAAAAATTCAAAATTTTGACCGTTACTTTTCTAAGTTAACCGTCATTTTTTACTTCTTTTTCTCACAAATAAGACATACTTATCTCTCTAACAGTCAACAAATCAATTCTCATAGTCATTACTGAACAAGTAATATCCTAGTAATACGAGGAATACTACTTCAATTGACACGACCAGTCCCGAATCACTCTAGTGGACTCGAAACATGACGTGCGCCGATAATAAATGTTGACTAGATGTCAAATCTATCACCAAAATTGACTATGAGATACTTCAAAAAAGTGCGTTAAAATCAAATGATTATATAAAACATAATGCGATGAGCCCAAATTATTTACTTCATGCTTCATCAATATGAACTATAACACTCAACATGTTGTGTGGCTCTCATTTCGAAATTATTAGGCTCTTCCAACTAAAAAGAATCAATTTCCACCTGTAATCAGCTATAGTGAGCCCTCTCTAGAAGGGCTCTTAAGAGAACTTACTTATATATTCAGCCACATGTGCGGGTGTGAAAGGCAAGCTAGCCACCAACCAGGGCGGGCTGAGAAGGCCCTATGTAGTCTTTCTTTTCGTGGGTGGTAGGCAGCCATTTCAACAACCAATGGGTGATCGATAAATTATTGGTTGTGTTCTTGACGGACTTGATCTTTAAGAAAATAAAGCCATTTTAAGAGGTGCCGTCCGCAGCCTCTGCGTCGGATATGAAGTCTCATTCGAAGCTTTAGACAAAGGTGCTATTGAGATATTGGGCCTTATGGTATCTCGTACTAGTCAGGAATGTAGGGCAGGGGGAGCAGAATGCCTTATGCAGCTAGGAGTGCAAGAAGGGTAAAATAAGGCATAAGCAAAGGAAAGAGTCAACTGCACCCTATACCCCAAACGTATATGAGAATATCTAGGCCATCAGGAAAATTACGGGAAAATATATGAGTTGATATCTCAATGAGTGGAGAAGTTCGAAAATAACTATACTTTTTCATTTTTATCGAAAATCGAGTTCATATCATTGATAAGTCGTAAGATAACATCATATAATTATAGCTAAAACGTGAGACATTTACATAGCGTGGTAAAATATCATCTCAAGTTATGATATAAATATAAGCTGGTAATCATACTATAATCTCATCACATCAAATGTATTGAAAAATTCACCAAAAATGTAACCTCTGATTAAAATTTGTAATCCACCCCTCGGGCTAAAAACTTTCACCACGGGCCTTTAGCTCCTCCGTGAACAAAAGCAGGTCTTGAGACATTTGGTAATCAATTCCAGAACACGCCCAAGGCCCCTCAATGAAGTATATGTACACGGTCGAGATCCCTTCATCCCCGATCCAAGACCCCTCAGTGTAATATAGAATACGATCAAGGTCCATCAGTGAACTAGAAGAAATATATAACACGGGTACTTTTCTGGGCGATTTCAAAATCACGTCTCATATTTCAATTCACAATGTACCGTATACAATTTTTGAAATCTCACATGTATCATAATAAAAGATATTTCCATAATAACCATATAATACGAACCCATAATTGCATATAATTGCACATACTTTAACAATATACTTAATTTATAAATACTTTTAAAATATTTATATTTTTCCACTTACAGAACTATGTACACCAAAATCAACTCGGATGGTACCCCATCCAATTATCCGTATCATCGCCTAAAATATAATATAATTTTTAAATCAACAATTAACTATTTTAAGTAATTTCAATAATTAAATAGGCGATACCCAACCTTAATTATTTCACGTTTAAGTGATTTTTATAGTCTCTTTAATCACTAAAACTAGTTTTTTCTTTCACTTTATTCAATTTCATAGTTTATTATACTTAACCCTTTCAATAAAATTGAATTTAGTATAACAATTTACCAATTATAAAATTAAACATAACTTGACAATAAGTACTTTTTTACTTACCTTTCAAATTTTTTTGAGAAATTCAAGCCCAATAGTATAACCCACTTATTTACAAACACATTGGCGAAATTTTTCTATTTTTTTTCCCTTTCTTCTTCCTCTTCTTATTTTTTTCTTCCTCTTTTCCTTTCATTTTTCTCCTGCTCTCGTTTTCTCTCAATGTGTGTTGTGTGTGTGTGTTTTTGTGGGACATATGGATAGATTTTGAGCTTGGG